GGAAGTAGATTGCCCAACCTTCCTTCCGAGGAGTGGCTAGTGGGTTTGAACCGCCAGCCTTCTGGTTAGCAGTCAACTGCCTTAGGCACTGCGCCACCAGAGCTCCTTTTGAGATATAACAGATTAACCAAGCACATGAGGGAGCAGAGATGGGGGAAGGCAGATGCCATGCCACCTGGAGATCACCAAGGAGTCAAGGAAGAGAAGCTGAAAAGACAAGGACCTCCCTCCAAGGGGACAGAGAGACAAAGCTTCTCGAGCTGGTTCCCTGAATTTGGACTTCTGCCTCCTAAACGTTGAGAAAATTTCTGTTTGCTAAAGCCACCCACTTGTGGCATTTCTGTTGCAGCAGCACTAGATAAAAAGACACATGTCATGGACTAAATGTCAATATTGGGGGTGAGGGCATGACCACATCAAATGTATCCATCAGCTGAAAGATAAATGTCAATTTCAGGAAAGTTAAAAGGTAGGGAGAACTCTGGAAGAGTACAGTAGAGTTTCCCAGATTCGGCTCTGACACCCTTTCTTCTATAAAGCCTCTGATTGCCTGTTCCGGGGAATCCACTTTGGAGAAGGGTATGGTGGGCAGATGGGTTTGGGACACAACGGGTGGGGGACCCTGGGGACTCAGACCTGGATCTTCTGGGTCTTCTTGTGCATCATCTCCATGTCGTTGTTGAGTTCCGTGACGTATGTGAACCGGGCAAAGTTCTTCTCCTCTTTGGCCAGGAATTCTTCAATGAGTTGGTTCAGGTTCTCGTTCTCAGCCAGCTTCAGCAGCCGGAGGTGGGCCACTTCATAGCTCTCAAAACTCTCCCCTTTGTTCTTTCTTCCATGCTTCTTTGCCTTGAGAGCTAGAAAAGGGAAAACCAGCAACCGAGAGTGCAACAAAGCCACCATTCAGATCAGCGCCAGGCAGATAGCACCTGCTCAGTATCACGCCTTGGGGAGGGGCCTAGAATCTTCCAGAAGATAAGGCAGAAGCTTCGCTCATTTACTCATTGCACAAATGTCTGGTAGCTATGAGTCAGGTTCGACTCGACGGCACATAACAACAACAACAACATACTTATGTAGGAGTTCTAGTGGTGAAACTATCGTGCACTCAGTTACTAAGTGAAAGGTTGGTGGTTCAAATCCACCCGGTAGCTGCAAGGGAGAAAAAACTAGTGATCTGCTCCCATGAAGATTCTAACACAAATCCACTGTTGCCAAGTGCACTCCAACTCATAGCAACCCTATAGGACAGGGTAGAACTACCCCCACTGGGTTTCCTAGGCGGTAAATCTTTCCAGAAGCAGACTGTCACATCTTTCTCCTGTGGATAGGCTGGTGGGTTCGAACCACCAACCTTCTGGTTAGCAGCCAAGTGCCTAACCACTGTGTCACCAGGGGTGGGGGCCTGCAGAGTGTACCTTCTTCCCTTTTGGCCTGCTCCTCGAACTCCGTGCGGTCGTTCAGCTTGACCAGCAGGAAAGACTTGAGCTTGTTCTCATGGGCATAGACGCGCTCCAGCTCGCGGATCTCCAAGTTATACTGAGAGATGTCTTTCTGCTGTCGGTCCTTCATGGCGGCCATTCGTGCCATGGCTTCCAGCCTAGGCAAGGGCAATGCAGGACCTGAGTGTCCCGAGGGACTTCCTGGCTGGCCAGTGACCACCACTTCCTTTTTTTTTTTTTTTTTTAACCTTTTCACCTTGACCCTGGAAACCACTGTTTTTTTTTTTTTTTTTTTAACCTTTTCACCTTGACCCTGGAAACCACTGATCTTTTGTCTTGATGGATGCACCTATGCTGGGTATTTCATATAAGTCAGATCATACACTATTTGTCCTTTTGTGTCTGACTAATTTCACTTGAGAATCCCTGGGTGGTACGAATATTAAGCACTTGACTATCAGCTGGAAGGTTAGCATTTTGAAATAACCCAGAGGGGCCTCAGAAGACAAACAAGGCAATCTACTTCCTAAAGTGCCAGCCTTGAAAACTCTATGGAGCATCCATGGGGGCTCCACGAGTCAGAACTGACTTGATGACAACCACAACAACAACTTCACTCAGCATGTTTCAGGGCCATAGCGTGTTTGCATGTCTCAGAACCGCATTGCTACTTGCGGCTGAGTAATATTCCATTGTATGGACAGACAACGTTTTGTTTGTCCATTCATCTGCTGATGGGCACTTGAGTTATTTCCAACACCACCCTCACTTCTTTTAATCATGGAAGTTCTGGGAATAGAACAATCCTCACCTTAACACCACCAACTGCAAGCTCTAGACCATCCCAGGAAATTATTTTTCCATCATCATCAATACCACTTTTTAATTACCATGTCCCAGGCACTCTCTTACATATATTATTTAATCCTCAGTACAATTCAAAGAAGGAAGGTTGGGCAATCTACTTCCATAGTGATACTGCCTCGGAAACCCAAGGAGGGGTCGCTATGAGTCGGGTCCAACTCGACAGCACATAACAACAACAAACAACACAACCCAAAGAGAGCTCTGGTGGTACAGTGGTTAAAGAATTTGGCCTGCTAACCAAAAGGTTGGTGGTTCAAACCCATCAGCCATTCCATGGAAGAAAGATGTGGCAGTCTGCTTCTGTAAAGATTTACAGACTTGGAAACCCTATGGGACAGTTTTACTCTGTCCCATAGGGTCCTTATGAGTCAGAATTGACTCAATGACAGTAGGTTTGATTTCTGGCTTGGTTCACCACCCAATGAGGTCCTACAACAACATAGTAGCGATCAAGCCAGGATTCAAACCTTAGATCCGTGTGCCTCCAAACCTGAGCTCTTCATAGTCAAACTGTGTGCCTCTTGCCCCTGTGAAGGTGGATCCAGGAGATACCTGGACTAGGAGAGGTCCCTAAGACTAGCGGCAGGACCACCTGGCAGAGTGGTTGGATCTCAACACTTCCCCCACTTACTTGAAGCTCAGATAAGTATTTTAGGATCTCTAAACCTCCATGTTCTTGTCTGTAAAACGGGAGTGATAACTCTCAGGGCAATTGTGAGAGTCAAAATAATACTCAGGACAGAGTTGCTATTTGGGGTGATGAGTTTTGGACCTAGATAGTGATGATGGTTGCACAACATTGTGAATGTACTAAATGCCACTGGTTGTTGTTGTTATGTGCCGTCGAGTCGGACCAGACTCATAGTGACCCCTCCTTGGGTTTCCGAAACACTTAAAAATTATTTAAACGGAAACACTTGTGTTATATATATTGAAAAAGAGCATTCTAAAGCTTTGGCTCTTGACATGACTGAGACTTCTAACTAAAATCTAGGCCAAACCCCACATTACCCTAAGAGACTGTGTTTTGGATTTTTAAATGCAGCTTCAGTCACACAATGCAGCCTGTCACTTCTGTAAAATTTCCACTGTGATCTAGAAGCAAGCAGTTCTACAGAAAAATGTGGTTTTGCGCAGTCTATTCTGCTTGTCCAAAGGCTCTAAGAAAATGAGCTTGTAGTTAGAAATGGCTGATTTAAAAAAAATAATAATAATTATTAAAGCACTTGGCTGCTAACTAAAGGATCAGCAGTTCACATCCACCAGCCACTCCGTGAGAATAAGTTGTGTTCTGTTTCCATAAAGATTATAGCCTTGGAAACCCTATGGACCAGTTCTACCCTAAGAGCCAGGAAATTGAGCTCCGAATCCAGCTTGTTTGATTGGATTCTCCTTCTTCCGCGCCCCTTTGGGAGCCACTTGGGTGAGTATCACTCAGACCCAAATCTCCGCTTTCTTGTGTTGAAGTTCTCTGAATATTATTACTGGCTTATTTTTATTGGCTTCCTCTCATTTTTAATTAAGCCTGGATTTACTTTCTCTTCTCACACTGTTGTGGTGTCAGAGATGTTTCTACTTCTTGAGTCACAGGTTAGTGATGGCAGATAACTGTACTCTCAAACAGTTCAGGGTAATATGGATTTATTGAAACCCTGAGAAACACAAAAGTAGTGCTTTGTTTGGATTTTTGTGAACTTTGAGCTCCCGCTATCAGACATGTAGAGGAAACTGTCCTTAAGGTTTTTCACTTGCAAGATTTTGTTAAAATTTGAGACTCTGGTGACAACAGAATCTCAAGTCCTTTTGGATTTTGGTCCCAAGACAATAACCAAGAGCAGTTCTCTGATAAGGTTCTTGTGCACATTTGGTATAACAGGGAAATGGTTTAAAAAAAAACAACAACAGAGTACCTCTCAGGGCCCCATGCACAATTTATGTGCAAACATTATGGTCCTACTACGTGTTGCTTTTTGAACCTATGGCATGATCTGACTAAAAACAGTTTGAAAAATCAGTAGCTATTTCAAAATTACTTTCCAATTGAAGAAGCTAATATGTCTAAGATCTAAAATAAAAGAGTTAGTCTCTAGCCAGCAAAATAAGTTCATTTCCAAACAGTGGAACCAGGTATCATACGGCTGTTACAGAGGAAGCTTAGAATCTTTAAGCCTACAACCCCATGGCAGACCCCACTGAGAATTTTGTCTCTGAAAGACTAAAATTTCAACCTGTTCTTAACAACCTTGATAAAAGAACTTGGATTCTCTACCCCACCCCACTCCCACCACCACTGGGATGCTGGTTTATGTTCAAACACTATAAGCTGAATATACTTGAAATAATTAGAAATCTCAGTGATTACTTTAAAAAATTCCACTCTTGCGTTGTCTTTCCTTTTCTCCGGGGAATTTTTGGTTAATGTTCATGTTTTGTCACAGGATCTAGTATTTTTTCACCTGAGACCCTAACAAGTTAATCAATTTATCCAAGACCTATTTTTTTTCTGTTAAATTAAGTTGGTCTTACCAAAGAATGGCTGTATGCATTTGGGGGGGGGGGGGGAACGTGGGTTCCCCATGTATGTCTTGTTGTTATGTGCCATCGAGTCAGCCCCGACTCAGAGCGACCCCTCCTTGGGTTTCTGAGGCAGTATCACTACGGAAGTAGGATTGCCCAATCTTCCTTCCAAGGAGTGGCTGGTGGGTTTGAACCGCCAGCCTTCTGGTTAGCAGTCAAGTGCTTTAGCCACTATGCTACCAGAGCTCCTATGTATGTCTTATGTAATATTAAATATCAGCCTAGGCTTAGCAGCCTCACAGACTAGTGAAGTCTATTGTGGTTTTTCCTGTTTCTCTTTTTCAAGTTTCCTGTCCTGTTCTGCTGATTTTATCTTCGGCACAGTTAACATTTTGGCTGTTTTAAAGAAAAGGGAAACTGTAGTTCTTGAATGAAAACTTTTAGTATTCTGGATGCTTGTATAAATTGTTTGAAAAATTACAGACTAATATTTTGTTTTCAAGATTTTTCATAAAACGTATCAGAGAAAACAATAATCCCCAAATGTACTATATAGTTTTTATAGTTGTAACATACACCTAAAGTTTAGTTTGACTTCTTAACAATATATGTGGTTTTTCTGTTTCTGTTTCTGTCTAAGTTTTGTCTTATCTCAGGAAGTCATGACTGGCAGTGTAGTTTTTTCTCATAAGGCAGTCTTTGAAGCCTTAGTTTTTTTTTCCTTTCAGGAAAACTGCTTTCTGCTCCTCCTAGTTTTAAATCTAGACTTTTAATAACTACTCTAAGAAATTTTAATATGAACTAGTCCATCTGAAAAGTGTACTTAAAAATAGATTTTTTTTTTTTGACATAACAAGGCCTTCAAAAGGGACAAAACATTCTAAATTGCTTCTTTAGAGGATCCTATGAGACAGAGATACAACAATGTAGTAATTTCTTACTTCTGGGTGATATTATTAAATAGATTGTAATATTCTTGCAAAGAACTTACTCTAATTAGTTTAATAATAAGGAAGCACTTCTATAAATTAAATAGTCCTAACATTCCCAGAATTAATGATAATAAATTTGTTCTAACCAAGGTAAATTTCTGTCAACTCTAAAAGTAAAATCTTTCTAATAAACTTAAGCTAGATATTTATGAAATGTGTTTTATTTAAATAAAGGAGTAGTTTTTCTTAATAAAGAGAAAGAAAACTAAACTGCTTACCAAGAAAATAAGAAAACATTAAAGAGAAAATATAGACTATTTAAACAAACTTCACTTCAGTCATAATTATGCTTTATAATATATAAATTTAAAGTAATTGCTAAGATTTTTAGGTAACTTATAAGTCTTAAAATTGAGTTATTGGATATTCATTATAATTAAAATATATAGGCTCTTACTTTTATGCCACAGAAAAAGGTTTTATATATATATAAATATATATAAAGTATTTGGTCAGCAGCCAAATACCTTATCCACTACTCCATTAGAGCTCATTATAGCTGAAGCTCTTAAAAATAAAATTAGTCATTATATTTAGAGATACTTTTATCTTAAGTTTTTATTGACTTTATTTAGCTTCGTATTCCTTTTAAAACTCCAATCAGATATTTCACTTTGAAAAACTGTTGCTATAAGTTACCTACAATCATGTTTAAGCTTGTTATCTACAGAAAAATCCTACTGTACTATTCACTGAAAATATTTGACTAAAATATTTCAACAAAATGGATTATATCAGACTGATGAAAAAAAGGACTGTAACATTTCAAACGTGAATAGCATTGGACTAAGCCAAGATTTCTAAAACTTCATGAAAAACTAATAAAGTTTTCAAGCTACTGCTGATCCAGAATTACATGGAACTAAAATAAATTACATAAAACAGACTATGTAACACTGCTAACCAGAAGGCTGCTGGTTCAAACCCACCAGCCACTCCTCGGAAGGAAGACTGGGCAATCTACTTCTGTAGAGATACCACCTCGGAAACACAAGGAGGGGTCGCTATAAGTCGGAGTCGACTCGATGACAGTGAGTTTTGTTTTGTTTTGTTTTTAACACTAAATGAACAAAGATTTATATGAGAATATTATTAATGTTAATGTTATATTTTCTAAATATAAGAAATCTTTTTTTTTCTTTCCCTCTTTTAATATAAGAATCAGCTATTTCAATAACTAATAGCTCCATGCTGGCTACAGAATATCTTTCTCAGGTTAAAAAAGCTTTTGGGCAAATAGAAATTAGACTCCCAGAGTGGGCCTAAAATCTCCCCCAGGAAAACACATATACTACAAAAGACATCAATTAAAGGATTCATTAGAATCTCGCTGGAGGGGGCCTTACCTAAGCCCTCCTTACTAACCCTGTGCAAGCAAATTAAATCTCAGATCTATTGGTCACAATGAAAGAAAGACAAATCTGTTCAGAGATTCACCCACTGAAGAACTGAGGATCATTCACCAGGCCAAAAGCCAACAATTTCAAGGAGTAAACAACTTATTCCAAGAACATGGAACAGGCACATGCAACTTATTGAAGTTCCTGCACTTTATTTTACAATTATAGCTATTTGCTTCCTTTTGGCTGTACTTTACAAAATTGAACTTATCCCGTGGTTATTTTTTACAAACATAAATTTAATTGCCCTCTTCATATAAACTTTAGAAGTAATTACTTTTTGTTTAATACTAACTGCCTTTAAACTAACCCTGTTTACAAGCTTCATCTGATTAATGTAATATTCTCATGCAAATAACCAAAGGCATTTATTTTATTGTAGATGTTACTTTTATTCTATTTACCATTTTGTAATATTGTAAACTTGTTTCTTAATTTTCTTTCTCCTAATGAGGTTTAGGCATTTGATTACTAAACAGAATCCTGGAGGTTCAAACCCACCAGCCACTTCTCAGAAGGAAGACTGGGCAATCTACTTCCATAGAGATACCACCTCAGAAACTCAAGGAGGCGTCACTATGAGTTAAATTGACTCAATGGCAGTGAGTTTGGTTTTTGTTTTTTAATAAAGTTTTATTTTAATGTCAGCTATAGAAGTTACTGAACTTTGCTTCATACTGAATTAATTTCTTAAATAACTTTAACAATTAAAGTATAAAACCAAACCAAACTCACTGTCATCAAGTCAATTTGATTCATAGCGACCCCTCCTTGGGTTTCTGAGGCGGTATCTCTACGGAAGTAGATACTTCTTAGTAAATAATTTTCCTTTAACTACCCTTAATTCAAAATACCCTTATCTTTGTCAACTAAGATTTGTTAATAGCATTTACCCTTAACAAAACCAAAAAACAAACAAAACTCACTGCCATTGAGTCTATTCCTACTCACAGCAACTCCCACTGGTTTCCAAAGTGGTAAATATTTACAGAAGTGGATTGCCCCATCTTCCTTCCACAGAGAAGCTGGTGGGTTTGAGCGGTCATCCTTCTGGTTAGCAGTCAAATGCCTTAGACACTACGCCACCAGAGCTCCTTACCCTTAATAAAAGGTAAGACCACTTTAGACCATTTACAAATAACTTTAATAGCATTTAATCTATAATACCTTTGTCAAAATGACTAAAACAATAGCCAGCACAAGAAATTTAACTAACTGCTAGAACAAGATATTTAAAAAAAAAAAAAAAAAATCCAGAAGGCCACCTGACTGTATATCAACAACCCTGAAGCTAATTCCTCTTTCTTTAATTTCTTAAATGTTTTTAGTAACTAATTCCTAGAAAGTATTGCTCTTGGATACATTCCCCACTGAATTAGCTTCACCTCTTGTTTTTGTCATCATATTTGAAATTATAAAATGCATTATTAATTGTACTTCTAGACTCTGCACCCAAACCATGGCTCTTATTAACCAACAAATTATGTACTTTAAAGGGACCAACTACCCAGATTTTGACCTTGCACTTTAGTTAAGAGCTTGCTGTCAAGTTGTTCCTTTTAATTCGGTCTTGCTCTATCCATATCCTCAACACAAAAGATCACTGATTTAAGGAAGGCTTGTAAGTAACAAACAATCATCTATAACTTTACACAACCAAGTCCTTGCAGAAGAAGAGTTACGCCTTTGTGGGCAATCAAAAAATGAATCTGAAAAATAACCCGCCCTGAAAATGAGGCTCCTACCCTACTAAGGTGAACCCAAAATAAACCAGTAACTATCAATAATGCTTTTAAGTACCACCAAATTCCTAGAGGAATTCTTGATCAAAAGGGGGGAATGTGGAAGAATATTCTAAAACTATGGCTCTCAAGATGACTCAAACTTCTGACAAAAGTCTAGGCCAAACTCCATTTTGTCTTAAGAGACTCCATTCCATATTTCCAAATGCACCTTCTGTCACACAATGCAGCATATCACTTCTGTAAAATTTCCACTATATCTTTGACCTAGAAACAAGCAGTTCTATAGAAAAATGTGGTTTTCTCTACCCTATTCTGCTTGTCCAAAAGTTCTAAGAATAAGCCTTTAGTTTGAAATGGCTGATGCAAAAAAAAAAAAAAAAAAAAAATTCAACCAATATAGATGTTAAACAGTGACTTTAGTGGTCTACTGACTCAGAAAATGGCCCTTGTTCCCCTTTTTTTTTAAAAAAAAAAATGTTCTAACTTGTATCTGGGTCCTTACAAAGCCCTGTACTTTTCCACACCTTTGTTCTACCAAAAAAAAAAAAACAAAAAAAAACCCAAACCCACTGTCATCAAGTCAATTCTGACTCATAGCAAACCTACAGGACAGAGTAGAATTGCCCATAGGGTTTCTAAGGCTGTAAATCTTTACAGAAGCAAACTACCTCATCTCTCTCCTGCCGAGCAGCTGGTAGGTTCAAACTGTCGACCATTTGGTTAGCACCCAAATGCCTTAACCACTGCACCACTAGAGCTCCTTAACCTTGTTCCAAGCTCTGTAAATGTCAGCTAATCACAAATGATTTAGGTGTACCCTTCTGCTTGTCTTTGTAAGCCTTTGTAAATTAACAGCTCCCTGGACCACTTTGTCAACAGTTTCTTGACTCTATGTTTCCCCATTTTGCAAAATGCCCTTTTGCCGATAATAAAACTCATTTTTTTTTTTAACTTTCAAATAGACTCATAGTCCTTTCTTCACTATGACAATATTTAGTAGAGTCCTTGAGTTGCACAAAAAGTTAAGTGGTTGACTAATAACCAAAAGTTTGGCTGTTTGCACCCACCAGAAGTACTTGAGAAGAAAGCCCTCATGGAACACAGTTCTACTCTGCACACATGGCGTCCCCATGAGTTGGAGTCAGCTCGACAATAACTGGTTTTGTTTGAGGGGGGTTTGGTATTTCCCACAATTAAATTTTTTTAAATAAAATAATAGAGCACTTAGCCCCATACCAGGCACATAGTTAGTGCTCAGAATTGTTACTGTTATGACTAAAGGTTCTCCAACACACAAACAGAGATGGCTCGGACTGGGAAGCTAGATGCTTGGTCAGGGACTCAGAGGCGTCTCTGAGCACAGGGGTCTCTCCCACCCCACCTCTGCTCATAGGCCTGAGAAGACTGCTCAATGGCCACGTTCATGGTCTTCTTCTGCATCAACAGGCGCCGGCACAGTTGCTGGTAGACATGGTCATAAGCGGCCTTCTCAAACCGGAGGTCCTCAATCTCCTTCCGGAGCTTGGCATTGGAGGTCAGCATCTTGTCAAAGTGAACGGTGACCTGCAGGAAGGGCTTGCTGTTAATTTTGTAAGGTCTTGTGGTTAGGAAAGAAAATGGCTTTTTCAGAGATGGAAACTGAAGTATTTACAGGTGAAATGTCACGATGTTTGTAATTTACCTTAAAATATCTCAGGGGGAAAAATGATACAAATATAGGAAAACAGTAATAACTGCTACATCTAAGTGATGAGTAAATTAGGTGTTTATTATTTTATTCCCTCTACTTTTCTGTATGTTTTCGTAAATTTGTCTTGTTGTTGTTGTTATGTGCCGTGGAGTCGGTCCCAACTCATAGCGACCCCTCCTTGGGTTTCCAAGGCAGTATCACTATGGAAGTAGATTGCCCAATCTTCCTTTTGAGGAGTGGCTGGTGGGTTTGAACCGACAGCCTTCTGGTTAGCAGTCAAGTGCCTTAGGTACTATGCTACAAAAAAAAAAAGTAAAGGTGTAAAGTGCTCCTGTACACTAAAAATAAACAAACAAAAAAAGGAAAGGTCCTAATATTAAGGGATTAGATTTGCTCAGAGGTTTTTGAGCTATGTTGTGAGAAAACTTAGGTTTCTGCAGAGCTAAGATTGGAGTAAGGAGCCCTGGTGGCATAGTGGTTAAATGCTTGGCTGTTAACCTAAAGGTTGGCAGTTCAAACACACCAGTAGCTCCGTAGTATAAAAGACCAATAGCTCTAGTTGAAGCAGTCTGCTCCTGTAAGGATTACTGCCTAGGAAACTATGGGGCAGTTTGACTTAATCTCATACAGTAACCACAAGACTAGGGTAAAGCAAGGAAGGTGCCCAGGGCACAAAATTTAAGGAGGCACTCACTATTGACACTATACTTCCATAAGCCTGAGCATGAGTGCCCTTTAAATTTTTCCCTGTGGGCTCTTTGCTTTCCTCACCCTGTCCCAGCCCTGGGTTTCTCCACGAGGTATCTCAATAGCCACCAAATAGGAGGGGTGAGGCCAAGGCAACAAAGGTTCTTACTCTAAGTTTGCATCCTTTACTTACTCTTAGGAAAATACCAGTTATCAGTCATTTATCCTTCAGTGTGAATTTATTCTAGGCCTGTTGGCATGCTACCTGTCTCTGATTGTGGGATAAAAGGTCTGACCCATGGGGAGAATTCTAAGGCCCCAGTGAGTAGGCAGGGGGAATTTTAGGGGGTCATGGAGGATTCTGGGATGCTGAAATCACCTTTAGAGATGGCTACCTAATCTTGTAAAAGGTACAGCCACACCTAGTTACGTAAGAAGAGAAAAGGGAGCCAATTTGAGATAAAAGAAACCAGACCTCTCAGAAATGAAAGAAAAGATGCTACCAAAGAATTATAAGACAATACTAGGAACAACTGTACACCAACAAATTAGATCAATTGCATGAAATTCATACTTTGAGGGAGACACAAACTACAAAAACTGACTGAAGAAGAAACAAGAAATCTGAACAGAACTATAACAGAAAAGCAGACTCAACAGACAACGAATCATTCATTCATTCATTCATTCATCAGCAGATATTTCCTGAGCATCTACTTGGAGTCTCATGCTGTGCCAGGCATTTTACCATGTTTCTAACTGAGTGGACCCTCAGCCTCACAAAGGGACCTAACTGCAGTGCAGGTTTCTGGGCCTCGGTTCTGGAGGTTCTAATTCAGTGGATTTGGAGGGGACCTAGAATCTGCATTTTTAACACACATCCTCAGCATTCTGAGTGAGATACAGCTGTAAGTCACTCTGCATGAGTATTATAAAGACACTGCCTTCCCCCTCAGGAGCTCTGGTAGCATAGTGGCTAAGGCACTTTACTGCTAACCAGAAGGCTGGCGGTTCAAACCCACCAGCCACTCCCCGGAAGGAAGATGAGGCAATCTACTTGTGTAGTGATACTGCCTCGGAAACCCAAGGAGGGGTCGCTATGGGTCAGGTCTGACTCAACAGCACACAACAACAACAACAACAGCCTTCCCCTCAGGCAGCTTCCAGCCTAGTAGAGGAGGCAGAAAACTCAGCTCCAATCCTGCAACGACAGATCAGTGTTTACTAGCTAAGAGTTTTACACTGTAAGGCAGTAGCGTGCCTCTCTCCAAATCAATTCATTTCCCTCTCTCAGCTCATGCTGCAGGAACTACAAGTTGACAAGCCAAACTGGAAAGCATTGTTTGTTGGTGCTCAGTATTCAGGCTCCCGTTCCTCTTGCTCCTCCTGGAACACTACCTGTCGGGCACTCTCAGTCCACACAGTCTGATTGGCACCGCCCTCCCCCCTTTGGGGGACATTCAAGAATAGTCACATGACACAGGCCTGGCCAATCTATGTATTCTATTCTTCTGGCCAAGGTGATTGGTTCACGGATGAGCACATGACCCAAGATGGCCAATGAGAAGCCTCTCTGGGACTTGTGATTGAATTCTTAAGAAATACACTTATGAAAAACCCCAGGATAAAGAAAACTAAACAAAAAAAAATTTTTTTTTTGGTTTAGTTTTTTTATCCTGCTGTTTATAAGATAGAAATACGGAAGAATGAAGCTGTTCAGGCCACCTTCACATTGGGTGCTGCCCAGAAGAGAAATGAATAGAAAAAGTGTCCTAAAGACATGCTTGGAGCATCTGGATGCAGCTATGCCTGAAGACCCCATTTCAATTTCCACCAAAAGGCTGGTGGTTCAAACCCACCAACCACTCCTTGGAAGGAAGACTGGGCAATCTACTTCCACACAGATACTGCCTCGGAAACCCAAGGAGGGGTCGCTATGAGTTGAATCGACTTGATGGCAATAGTTTGGTTTGGTTTTTGACAACAATCCAAAAAAAAAAAAACCCAAACTCACTGCCGTTGAGTTGGTTCTGACTTATAGGGACCCTTCCTTGGGTTTCCGAGGCAGTATCTCTATGGAAGTAAACTGCCCAGTCTTCCTTCTGAGGAGTGGCTGATGGGCTTGAACCACCAGTCAAATACCTTGGGCACTGTGCCACCAGAGCTCCTTCTATGACAACAAATTCCCTTTTTTTCTTAAGCCAGTTTACAATTTAGAGAATTCTGCTTAATGTAAAACTCACTATGGATTGAGAGTGATTAGGGAACATCACTTTTCCCTTTATCCAGATACACATGTGTATGGCTAACATTTCTTAGAGACAACATCAATAACCGCAAAACAAGGCACTGGTGACAACAGAGGAATGAGCAGATTCCATGGGGGAGGCGCAACTAATCCTGCTTCCTAAGTGGTAATACTTAAGCTGCTCATTTGACTGCTAAGCAGAAGGCTGGTGGTTCAAACCCACCAGCCACTGCTTGGAAGAAAGGTTGGGCAATCTACTTCTGTAGTGACACTGCCTCGGAAACCCAAGGAGGGGTTGCTATGAGTCGGATCTGATTTGACAGCAATGGTTTTGTTTTTTCTGGACAACGAGCAGGAGTTTTTGAGACAGGAAACTAAAGTAGGCATTCTGCGTAATGGGGACAAGAGGCTGTGCTAAGGTCCAGAGACCAAGAAAAAGAAAGGCACGTTGGGCAATGATGAGCCGTTCAGAGAGAGTGGAACAGAGCGGGTAGTAAATTCTAAAAGGCTGCCTGGCCTGTGTATACACCTTTAGTCCACCTCCTTCTCAATTTACCAATGAAATGGTATGCTCTGCTCATGCCTCAGATGACATCATTCTTTATCCTGCACAAAGAGGGACAGAGCTGCACAAAGGTGCAGAGAATACCATACATACGAGATTCAAACGGGTTTCCAAAATGTGGATCTGTTTTTGCAGTTTTTGAGGGTTCTTGGCCTCTTGCATTTTGGTAAAGATCCGCTTTTGGTTTATAATTTTGTTTTCCATCTGAGTAATCTAAAACGAGAGAGAAAGAAAAAAAAAACAGCTGTGTTAACATCTGTACAGGTACAGTTCTACAGTTCATTAACTCAAGTGTATTAGAACCAAAAACTGCAATGTTCTATCTTTTCCTAAATACAGAATTTTAATTTCTTCCTTGATGCCTGTTGTGGTAGTTACATTTGCATGTCAACTTGGCTAGGCCTGGTTGAGTGGTTGGGCAGCTGGGGGTAGTTATTCCCCATGATGAGACTGGCAATCAACTCCATAGTAGGATCTACCACAAGCAGCTGAGTAGCTGCCTTTGGGATGTGGTCTGCTTCCTGTATATAAGGAGAAGCCTTGGGAATGGTCTCTAGCTTATGCCTGGCCCCTGCATGTAGCTGTGTCGTTGCTCAGCAGCCTGCTACACTCTGCAGACCTTGGGACTTACAAGGGACTTAAGTTAATGGCCTGCCATGTGGTTTGGTAACATCAGGACTATGCCTTTTTACTTGTCAACCTTGAGGCTTCTCAGCCTCAGCAGCCAGCAGCTGTCTGAGTGAAGAAACACCTCTAGCTCCAGTGGGCCGGGAGCAGGAGGCAGAGCTGGACCCCAAGGTTGAGGGGCTTTCACCCAGCCCCTAGAGCCTGGCACTTTACACTTGGACTTAAAGCCTCCAAATTGTAAGAATAAAGTCCTGTTTGTTTAGACCATCCCATTTGTGGTATATTTCTTTCTAGGTAACCAGAACAGAATATGGTACCAGCAGTCTGAGTCAGTTTAGGGCAAAAATGAGGCAATGTAGAGTTTCTTATTTTACCAATGCATGTAAACGTCACTCTCTTGTTGCAGTTTCCACTTTACCCTAAAGCCATGGTTTCTAGCCAAAATGTGTTCCCCAAGGGCCTGTCTGTAAATTTGTGGAGGTGTTTTAAAGGCTGTTCCAATAATGGACACGAGATGTCACATATACTGCAACGTGTGGAACAGTCCTAAACACACAAGAATTGTCCCTCGCTCCTTTATGAGTTAAAGGGAAAGTCCCTCTAGAGATCAAAAAATCACTTTATCATTTTCTATCCTGGAATCTTTCTTCAAAGGTGGTAAACAAATAGGCAGGATTTGGCCCTGGAGCTGTAGTTCACTGTCCCCGGTCTACTCTAGGCCAATCATGGCAGTTCATTTCCCTTCACAGTGATTGGCCTATAAACTGGCATGTGTCCCAGCCCAGGCCAATGAGGGGACACCTGCTGAGTGAGGTATTTTGTGAAATATCCTGTCCTCATCAGAAGAGACTATCATGGAAGTGAACCTTCTTCATATCTTTGAATGTACTTGTGTGAAAAGCTGATACCAGCTGAGTTTTGACAGAAGGACCAAGAGGATCCAAGACAAAAAGACCAAGCCATCATTGTAGAGCTGCTAAGCCAGCCCGGGGATGGCCTAGTTCCAGATGGATCTCTTATTACATGAGAACAACCAAACCAAACCAAAATCACTGCCATCGAGTCAATGCTGACTCACTGCGACCCTCATTGGGTTTCCAAGGTTGTAAATCTTTACAGAGGCAGACTGCCTCGTCTTTCTTCTGTGGAGTGGCTGGTGCGTCTGAACAACCACCCTTAAGTTAGCAGCAAAATGCCTTAATCACTGCACCACCAGGGCGCCTTTTTACAAGAAAAGCAAACCTTTATTCTCTCAGTTGCTATTAGTCAACAATCCTGTAACCTGCAGCCAAACACCTTCTCAGTAGCCCATGAAACAAGATGGCAGCTCAGATTATCAAGCATTGAGGGAACTTCTGGGTCACACACAAAACGGTGAGGCAAATTAATTTCATTTATGATTGATATTAGCCAGGGTTTGGACTTTAGCCATAACGTCACACTCCCAAAATTCCCTCAGAGCAAAAATAAAGAGCTCCATCAGTCCTGACGTGCAAAATCACACCCAGTTCCCTGTTCTACTTCGTGTCCCTTTCCTGTTCTCTACATACACAGGCAGCATCTTCAAGACAAATCCTCATAAACTCACTGATGAACGAAAACAAATGACTTGTCTTAATATTACAGAGGGCAGCATCTCCAGACTGCGACATCTCCTGCTCTGAAAGGGTGCCCACCCCTGTTAGAGCTGACCCCAGAGTCCTCAGGCTTCAGCTCCTTGTCAAAGTGAAGCTGTGGCATCAGCATTTCCCCGGCGGCTCTTGTGATTAAATTCAGAGTCAAGATCTCTGTGGTGTCTCTGTGTCAGAACACAGCTTTTGTGATGCCCAGAGTAATTAGGCCTCTGCCCAAAGGGAGACATTATCAAAGGCTGCGGCTGGCAGAGAAAAGTATTGGCTAAGCAAGTTGTTATTTGCCAGTTGGCTTATTAATTATTTTGTAAGACAGGCAGGACCTGATGAGGTTCCTGCCTCTGGTGACCTCTTGTAAGGAGGGGCTCTGGGCTCTGTGTTGGGCACAAGGGTATGCATTCTGCAATTTGCCATCCGGGGATTAAACTGGGAGAAAGAGGGTTTGCTTCAGATAGTGAGGGTCATATTCTTTTGAGGGCCCAAACTAGGATGCCTTTTCCTAATGCTCCTGAGGACTTGTGCTCCCATCTCTTACTCAGTTTTCCTTTTTCACTTCTTTTCTCATTCATTCATTCATAAGTCATTTCATTCATTAGTCATTCATTCATAGTCATTCATTCCTCAGTGTTTATTAACTATCTGCCCTCTAAACTTCTCATCTGTGTTTCAAAGTTACTGTTGTCCCTTCAATCTCATATAGTCAAAAACATTTTTTGTTGATGTTGTAAAAATATATGTAACATAACATTCGCCAATTGAACATTTCTCAGGCATACAATTTGGTGCTGGAAGGTTTTAAGCCAATAAATGATGTAATGAGATTCCCTTATTCATTCAGACAATAGTGAGTGAGGACCAGGCACTAGGATAGGCTGACAGCCTGGTGAGGGAGATGTTAAATGAAGCCCGTATTACTATAGTCCTTGTGAATGTTGAGGCTCCCTGGTGGCACAGTGGTTAAAGTGCTTGGTTTCTAACTGAAAGAACGGTTCCAACCCACCAGCTGCCCTGTGGAAGACAGATGAGCCAGTCTCCTTCCATAAAGATGACAGCCTTGGAAACCTGAGAAGCAGTTCTACTCTGCTCCATAGTGTTGCTATGAGTTGGAATTGACAGCGACTGGTTTGGTTTTGAGTTTTGGGTTGTGGATATTGGGACTTTGGGTCCTTCCTGGGTCATCCCAGGGCTTCACCACTCCTTCTCCTGCGCCAAGTCCTTGAAGGGAAAGGCCACACCTTCTCATCCAGCTCGGTCAACAGCATCTTCATGGATCTAATCAGGGACTCATAGTCGTCCTTGGTTTGCAGCAGAAACCGCAGTTCCCGGTAGTTCTTCTCGTTCAGATCCAAATTCTTGGGGGACTTGAGGAGACTCAGAAGCAGGGTGATATCATCTTGCTCTTCTTGCAGGGTCTTGATTTCCTTGCTGGGGGTGGGGGAAAGCAGTGCAAAATTAACCCTGAGCCACCAGGGCTCTGTCGTCAAGCACTCAGGTGCCTCAGCGCTGCAAGGGGCTTGGAGGAATGTCAAGGATTGATTTGTGACCCCCTCCCCCAAAATACACATTGTAAATCCCTAACCTGTGTTTATAATCCCATTGGGGAATGGCTTTTCTTTGTTATGTTAATGAGACCTATTAGTGTAGGGTGTGTCTTAAATCAGTATCTTTTGAGATATAAAAGCAGAATAAACAAGCAAGCAGAGACTCGGTGAGGCAGATGCCAGGCCCCATGAAGAGACAAGGCCCTCTCTCCAGGGCAGACACAGAGAAAAAGGCTTCCCCTAGGGCTGGTGCCCTGAACTCTGACTTGTAGCCTCCTAAACTCTAATAAATTTCTGTTCATTAAAGCCACCCACTAGATCACTAAGGTGTTCTACTTCCCACCAGATCTGATTGTGTGAGAGAGAAGGACAGTCAGGTAGAGAGTGGCTTTGAACCCAGGTCTAGAGCTCGTTGTCTGAGACCTGCTGTTGTTAACTGCCGTCTAGTTGGCCTCAGACTCATAGCAATCCCAGGTACAACTGAATAAGTGCTGCTGGGTCCTGAGCCATCCCGTGATCAGGAGTGGAGTGGGCCATGGTGACCCACAGGGTTTTCACTGGCTGATTGTCAGAAGTGGATTGCCGGGTCATTCTTTTCCAGTTGGTCTTAGTCTGAACTAGAAGTTCCACTCAAAGTTATTCAGCATCATAGCAACACACAAGCCAAACCTCCACTGACAGACGAGTAGTGTCTGCGTGTAAAACGCATTGGTGGGGAATCGAACCTGGCTGTCTTGCATGGAAGGCAAGAAGTCTACCAGTGACTCAGCACTGCTCTCTGCCTGACGCCTGTTGTTGTTATATGCCATTGAGTCGGCCCTGACTCATAGCAAGCCCTCCTTCGGTTTCCGAGGCGGTAACACTACGGAAGTAGGATTGCCCAACCTTCCTTCCGAGGAGTGGCGGGTGGGTTTGAACCACCAGCCATCTGGTTAGCAGTCAAGTGCCTTAAGCACTATGTTACCATACATTGCAATTTTCACAGCTCCGCCTTACTCTAAGGGGGACTGTTTCCCTGGAGAACAATTTGCAGCTGTGCCTGTCAAAATCCAATCCCTAGGCATGGCTGGAGCCCCACATTCTCCTTTCCAGAAGTTCCACTGGCATCTATCTGCCTTTACAGACCTCCTGCCAGATCTGATAGCCAATCATCTCTGATAATGAGGGACAAAAACATCAGACAGGATTTCCAAGTTTGCATCAATCCAGAGAGGCATAGTCACCTCTAACCTCCCTGGTTTCTCTCCTTGGGCTGCTAATGATTTATTAAATCTGGCTGACGTGAGTCTCCTCCTTTCTCTTCCCTGATCTCTTCTGGAAAAGAGATGGGGTGGGGGAACAAGGAAGAGGAATTTGGGTAAAGAGAGGGATTTTTGATAAAAGGAAAGGAGGCCTGAGAGACTCACAACAACTGAACAACAGAAAATGGCCACAAAGTCTGGGTACCATGTACCTAGTGCTCAATGTGGCTTGCCATCCTTTGGGACTTTGCAGAAATGCAGACTCTCGGGCTCCAATCAAGACCATTGACTCAGAATCTGCTTTGTCACATGATCGAGTGATTTGTATGCACATTAAAGTTTTAGAAGCAAAGAATATTCTAGAGCAAAGGTTGGCAAACTTTTCCCTGTAAAGGGCCAGAAAGTAGATAGCTTAGGCTTTGTGGGCCATGGGGTCTCTGTTGAAAGTACTCACCCTGCTATTGCAGCATCACAGTCATAAGCAACACATAAACAAAGCGATACGGCTGTGTGCCAATAAAACTTTATTTACAAAAATGAATGACTGTAGGCAGCTGCTTGCCTACTCCTTTCCTAAAACAGCACTGTCCAACAGAACATTCTGCAATGACCAAAATGTTCTCTGTCTGTCTCTCCAATAGTACTCATTAGGCACCCGTGTCTACTGAGCACTTGAAATGTGACTATGCAATGAAGGCACTGAATTTTCATTCATTAATTAGAAATTTAAATAGCCATATGTGACTAGCGGTTAGTAGATACCCAGCTCTAAACACTTTATCTTCCAAACCTGTGGCACCTGGGAATTTTCTCCCGCTTGTCACCTTCTCCTGGAAGGGGATCAGAATTGATAGAAGAGAGAGAAGGAAAAGAAAGGACAGAGAGACAGAGGACAACAGTATACCAGATGTAACCAATGGAATTGTGTCCTCAAATATACATGTGTTGGAAATGCTAAGCCCTAGATCGGGGCCGACTCGACGGCAAACAACAACAAACAACAACAACAAAGATCTATGGATGTAATTCCACTGGGAATGGAACCTTCTTTGTCATGTTAATGAGGTCATACCAGTGTAGGGTGTGTCTTGAGGCTGTCACTTCTGAGACATAAAGCCAACAGAACCAAGCCCAGATGGGGGCTTCACCACATGAAGATCACCAAGGAAACGACCTGGGAAGAGGGGTGCCACACCACATGAAGATCGCCAAGGAAATGAGAACAGAAGCTGAAGCGAGACAAGGACCTTCCCCCAGAGGCACCAAAAAGCTCTCCTCCCTGAATTTGGACTTCCAGCTTCCTAAACTGTGAGAAAATAAATTTGTTTGTTAAAGCCACCCGTCTGAGCTCTTTTTGTTACAGCAGTACTAGATTAACTAAGACACTCTTTCTTCCCTTTGGCAACTTTGTTTCTACTTTCCCCTCCTCATGTCCACATTCTTCCTTATACCTCCTTGTTGAGCAAATTACTCCCAAATACTGAAACTCAAAAAAAGAACTGATGCCTTTGAATTATGGTGTTGGTGAAGAATATTGAATACACCAGAAGAACAAACACATTTGTCTCGTAAGAAGTAGAGCAGAATGCTGCTTAGAAGCAAGGGCAGCAAGACTGGCTAATGTACTTTGGACATGTTATCAAGAGGGACCAGCCCCTAGAGAAGGACATCATACCTGGTAAAGTAGATGGTCAGCAAAAAAAAAAAAAAGGAAGACCCTCATTGAGATGGATTGACACAGTGGCTACAATTGGCTCAACCATAGCAACAATGTGAGGACAGTACAGGCCCAGGCAGTGTTTCCTTGTGTTGTATGTAGGGTCATTATGAGTTGGACTGACCATACCTAACAACAGTGAAACCCTGGGGTAACATTCAGTCACACTCAAAAGGTAGAAAGTACAGAAACTGGCTCCAGAATAAAGAGGGGAAGGGAATGACTGTCAGAAAATAAATGACTGTTCCTTAAAATCCCCCACTTGTGGTATTTCTGGGAGCTCTGGTGGCATAGTGCCGAAGGCATTTGACTGGTAATCAGAAGGCTGGCAGTTCAAACCTACCAGCCACTCCTCAGAAGGAAGGTTAGGCCATATACTTTCATAGTGATACTGCCTCGGAAACCCAAGGAGGGGTCGCTATGAGTCAGATCCAACTGCACGGCAGTGTGTTTTGCATTTGTGGTATTTCTATTATAGCAGCAGTAGGAAACTAAGACACCAGAGTTCGGCTTTTAAAAGGGGGCTATAATAGCAAATGGAAGGTTTGCCTATCTTGCAGGCAAGACTGGGACAGAGATGAGCCAAATGAGGTGCCTAGAGTGCAAAATTTAAGATGTGCTCACTCTCACAGTCATGCCTCACTCTTCTTATCCTAATCCTGACCCTATTTACAGGCGTTTCACCCTGAAGAACCTAACATTTCCATTCTTCCATCCCCTCCCATTTAGTTCAATCAAAGGAAAACCAGACCAAATGGACTTAAATCAGAAACTCTGTGTGTGTGTGTGTGTGTGTGTGTGTAGGGGGCATAAGGGTAAGATTTGAGAAAGACTGTCAAAGACAGATCAGAAAGGAGACATTTCCTGATGCCCATCTGGGGTGGCCTGTGAATCATGGCTGCCAGGCACAGATGTACAAGTAGCAGACTGCACAGCTCTAGGAAGAACCTTTAATGTCATAAACATCATTGATGTACTGATTTTCTACACTTTCCTGGGAAGTGTCTTGTTCAAACAAAATCACTATATAATGGCGATTGTTCCCACAGATGGCAGGTGTTGTTGTTGTTAGGTACCACTGAGTCAATTCCAACTCATAGTGACCCTATGAACAGAGAATGAAAGATTGCCCAGTCCTGGACCGTCCTCACAATCATTGCTGTGTTTGCGCCCATTGTTACAGCCACTGTCTCAATCCATCTTGGTGAAGGTCTTCCTCTTTTTAGTTGACCTTCTGCTTTACCAAGCAGTAAAGTGTTTTTAAAAAGGGTGCCTTGTTTTAATTCACATCAAGGTCTCATATGGCTTGTATGAGGTCAATCAAAGCAAAATATAAAGAACTTTTCCCCAGCTTCTAAACTTCATGTGTCATCTAATAGTAAGATTTTATTTTTAATACTGGATAGTTCCTTCTGCTTTTATAAAAGTTATGATGTAACTAAGGAATGACATCTTAAAACCCTTGGAAGTATGTGAGGGCACTCTAAAACTGAGGTGCCTGGCATGATTGAAAGTGACTGATCTAGGTCTGAATCAAAGCTCCCTTGTTTGAATTAAACTTTAGCTTGTCCTAAATCCTCTTTTCTGCTGAGCTCTGGTAGCATAGTGCCTAAGGCACTTGACTGCTAACCAGAAGGCTGGCGGTTCAAACCCACCAGCCACTCCTTGGAAGGAAGGTTGGGC